TAAATTAACAATTATTAGCTACACTAATAACAATAACAATTTAAATAACAACATAAAATAAAATATAAAAATTATATTTTCTAACAAAAAAAATTAACAATAAATTAAAGTAAGTAAATTAACAATTAACAATCAAATTAATTAAATCAACAATTTAAAAAAATAACACAAAATTAAAAAGTTAACAATAATATTCAATTAATCAATAATTAACAACAACATTAACATAACAATTAACAATTAATATTAAATTAAAAATTAAAAATTTTAATTAACTATCACAATTTACACTAAAATAACACACAAAATAAATTTTAATTAAATAATCAAATTAAAAAAATACATGCAATGAACAATCAATTCAATAATTAAACTAGCAATAATAAGTAATAAACATAAAATTAAAAAAAAATCTAATTATTTGACATAAATAAATAACTGAAAAAATTAATAATTGAAAGGATGGTTTAGATTTAGGTCGACACTGTCACCAAGAGAAGGAGGGGGAGCAACCGCCAAAAAAAATACCTTGTCGGAATATGGTCGTCGGAAAACGGTAGCTTCAACGAAAGACGAGAAAACTTGAAAGGAGGAGGAAAAGAGGGAAGAAATATGGAGATTTTAAGGAAACAATAGCTTTGAGGAGAGAGAGCAAAGGATTGGAGGAAAAAAGACGAGAGATATCGCTGCTGGAGGAGAAGAAGAGAGGAGAAGAAAATAAGAAATGACGATTCCGATCGATTGCTATTTATAGAAGGGTAAAGTTTTTAGCGACGGTCTAAACGTAAATTCAAAATTAAATTTGACCGTTTCCCACCAACGGTTTACTTTTAGTGACCGTCGCTAACTTAACGTTTGCAACGATTATTTTTGCAACCGTTCAAATAATAAAATTAAATTATCAACGGGGTTAGACCGTCGCTAAACCGTTTCCGAGTTGATTTGGCGACGTTTTAGACCGTCGCTAATGTAATGTTTGCAAAAGTTATTCTGCCAATCGTTAAATAAAAAATAAATTATCAACGGGTTACCGACGGTCCGAGACCGTCGCTAAACCGAAGTATTTTTTGGTTAATTTGGTGACGTTTTAGCGACGGTTGTGGATCGTCGCTAAAAAGAATATTTTGGAAACGGTTTAATAACACCAAATCGTTGCTAATTTTCTTTTTGGTAACGGAATAGCGACGGTCCGTGACCGTTGCTAAATTTATTTTTTATTTAGGGTTTTTTTTATAAAATCGTTGAAAACATATTAAATAACACTTACCAACGGTTTAGCAACGGTTTAGACCGTTGCTAAATTTGTAATGATTTCCTTAAATATATAAACCGTCGCTAAAATGGTTAGCCTATAACATTAGCAACGGATTTGTGGACCGTTGCTAAAAAACCGTCACAAAATTTAATTTTTGTAACCAATTTTTAGACCGTTGCTAAAGTGTGAAAAATTATTGCTAATCTAGGTATTTAGCGACGGTTTGTTGACCGTCGCTAAATATCATTTTTGTTGTAGTGAGACTTGTATAAAAATTAACATATGAAAAAAAACAAAATTTTATTCTTATTTACTACAAATGAAAAGATCAATTTTTGAAGTTATCCATCCAAAACTATGGGTCGGATAGAACAAAATCATTTTATCATATTTTCAATAATTATTTATTTATCTACTATTATTTTTGTATGTTTTTTCATAATTTCAAGTTAAAACAACATTATTTATTCTTCTTTATTTATTAATCCTTAAATAAAAACTTGTAATAATTTAAAATAAAATATTAATTAAGAATTCAAAAGCGAGATACTTTAAAATATATATTTTTATAAGAATGTATCTAAAAAATAAAGTTATAATTAATGTATAGACTTGTATAAAAATTAACAAATAAAAAAATTAAAATTTATTTTTATTTAATATTGATGGAAAGATTATTTGTTTTTGAAGGCACATGTATGCATTTGATCTATGTATATTTATTTACAAAGTAATCAATAATATCATAATATAAAACTCGTATTTGAATAATTGATTGATTCCTATATTTATTTATAAAATAACCAATAATGTTAATATAATAAACTATATTTAAATAATTAATTGATTCCTTTTTAAAAAATTAATTGTTTTATTTTAAATAAATTGGTTTTATAATATTAAAAAAAATATTCATAGTAAATAATTTGTATTATATGCGAAGATGTATAATTAATTTTTAATAAAAAAAATAATTTTAAAATATCGCAATTTAAAAAACTTAAGTTGTTAGGTGAGATATATATATATATATATATATATATATATATATATATATATATATATATATATATACATACATATACATGTGCACTCATGTGTGTGTAAAATAGATTCACTTCATTTTTTTTTATTAAAAATATCTTCAAACTAATTTACATTTCAGTATAAAGATAAAATTCTTCATTTTAAAAATAGGAAAATCATAAAAAAAAAAACAGGAGTCTACGGTTTCAATTTTTTTAGTCTAAGATCGTTTGAACAAATAAGGAAAAAAGAAAAAACAGTACTTGAAAAAGACATGGAGATATTTGGATTTGCAGGTGCCAACCATATGGGGGACCAGGCTGCTCTCCTAGGCCTAGAGGAAGAAGCCGCATGTCTTGGCTTGGGGGCCAGGCTCCCACACATTGGCTAGGAGGACCAGGCCCAAGCAGACTAGGGCACAAAAGAAAAAAAAAATGTTTTGAATTTCGATGACCTATGCAATTTTGGTGACTTTGATTTTGCCGAAAATGTCGTCGAAAAGTCAAGTTTCCTAATTTCAGCCTCCCTGAACCAAAAATAGCCTCATTTTTGTTTAAAAATATCTCAAAATCATAGAAATAACATAAAAAAATCATTTAGAATATTAAAATCTATTTTCATTCATAAAAAACACACAAAAAGTCAAATCAAAATAAAAAAAATTCAAAATATTTTTAAATCCCGATCTACGTACTTTTATCATTTTATTATTTTCCACAACTACAAATGAATTCTACTTGTCAAGCCGAACAAAATGATTGTAATTTTCGACTATTGGAGTGCAAGAACTATCTTTGCCATTCCTCTCTTTCTCCTCCCTTCTCTCCATCATTTCTCTCTCCTCCAAGTATGTAAGACTGAAATGAAAGAAAAACAAAATTGCAGACTAAAAAAAAAGTTACAATTTGAGGGATGAAAATAGAAAAATTTATTAAATTTGCATATTAATGCCCGAAAATAAAGAAAAAATAGCAAAAAAACCATACCTAAATATTACATAAATTGCCACTAAATGAATAATGAATTAAGGCATATAAACAATCTAATAACAGTGAAATTCCCATTAGCTTTTGTTGTTTTTTAGTAATATGTATAAGGGCTTTGTCAACAGAAAGTAAAGAGTGGAGGGAAAATAGTATTCTTGATTATTTTTGAGTTCAATTTCTGCTTCAGGGATTTTAGGTTTTAATTTTTTGACAATCCTCTACATAAATTTAAAGGATTAATGGCACGAAACCTTTATTTATTTATTTATTCTTTTGATTTTTTTTTTAATGTAGCTCTTGTATTTTTTTTAATACATTATTAGTCTTTATTCTTAATTTTTTTTTAATGTGATTTCTCTGGCTATTTTTCATCTAATTTTTCAAATTAAAACTGATAGCTAATATAAAAAATTCGACATGAAACGTTGATTAATTTTTCATGTGAAAAAAAACAAAAACAAACAAAAATTGGATAGATCAAGAAACTACTTTCAATCCAATCATTCTCAGTAAATTTTTCAGTGAAGCTAATTATTATGCATTTATTAAATACATATGTGTTGAAACATGCAAATAACTTATTAAATGATCATTAATTTTTCAAAAGATCATTCACGGTTATGAATTTTCAAAGGTTTGCTTTTTTGGTTACGAGATAAGCCCAACGAGGGTTCAAATCACTCTCTTCATCACATTAATTTATTAAAAAAATAAAGCGTCATTGGAAAATTTAAAGAGAATGATTGAAAAATTTAAAAAGTGATCGAGGATAGTTTCGTTTTATTTTTTTATTTTTTTATATGATAAATTAATCCGAAATGTCATCTTACATAAATTTCTTTATATCAATTGTCATTTTTAATGAAAAAATTGATGAAAAACAGTTGAAACGATCATATTAAGAAAAATATAAGAAAAATACAAGAATAGAGAGAAATGAAAAAAAAACACATGATATTTTTTTTTAAAAAAAAGAAGAACGTTCATGCAATTAATCCAAAATCTAAAAAATGAAATCGTTTTTATTGCAGCACAGAAAAGAAATTTGTCCTGAGGCGGCTTTGATGATGCCACTATTGAATATAATTCTTACTATCACTCTTTCAACAAGGTCGTTGTAGTATAGTGGTGAGTATTCCCGCCTGTCACGCGGGTGACCCGGGTTCGATCCCCGGCAACGGCGAATTTATTTTTTCCATCCCCTTAACAGCTTCATTCTTAGGCAATGGTCTACTAAATTTTGAAGAGGACAAAAACCCCCCAAAACACAATGGAAGCCCAGTACTAGATATTGTTACAAGACCCACAAACAGTAAAGAACATCCTTCATACTATAGTACCACAATAACACCAAAGATTTTTGTAACTGACAATACACAAACCATCAAATTGCTAGCCCTACAGAATGACCCGGCACTAGACTGTCACTAAGGCCGCAAAATTCTGTCTTCTGGAGTCAACCAACTTGGCCTCATTTTGACATTTCAATTGGATTAACATCTTGTTTTATTTTCAAGATAAAAGGCTGAATTCAAAACCATGAGATTAAAAGGCCTCCTGTGAAGAAGTATCTAAGAAGATTTAAGATTGAAAGGGTTTGTCAAGCTTATATACATGACTGGAAATATCTTTATAATTAGGCAGAAAAAAAATACTGACATGAGGCAATGGAGACAACAGTTATGACATATAACTCGGTGAAACCAGGGAATAGACGAGCCAACCAGAGATGGTTAAAGTGGAATCCGTGACCCGAAAGTGTTCTCTCCGCTGTAGGTAACATAGAGAAACCCATCTTCATCCTTTTTCTCCTCATATATGGCAGACATGATAGCACCTACAAACAGCAAATAGATGACAATGTCATGCACCTTTACCGATCCAGAGACAGATAGCAAGATCTACACGAGAGAGACAACATATATGCAAGAGTTTACCTGTGGGTGGGAGGACATTATCCACAAATATAAAGATTGCCTTTTCTGCACTCAACTTGATCCTTTTGCGGATGACATAGACAAACTGTCCTACAGTCAAGTCAGCTGGAACAAGGTACCTGCAATTTTCAGGTTCGGATTGTAAGGAAAAAAAGCCCAAAACCATCAAGCATAGCAGCTTATTTTAATCCCAATAATAATAATAATAATAAAAACATATATATTTTCTAGGGCTATAGAAGATGGCCATAACTAAAAGACAGAAAGGCAGGCCATTCCACAGAGGTGTAACAAAGATACAAAAAAGCTAAGAAAAAACTAGAAAGGTGCTCCAGTGCTCAAGGGTAGGGCTGGCCCGGCCAGGTCTAGAAACCACTGGAAAGAGAAATTTCATGTTCATGAGACCAAAGTATAACAAAGATAGAAACCGCAGGTTATATGGTGTTTCACTTTCATGCAAGTATGATTTTACAATAATCAGTTTTTCAATTGTTTTTTAAGTTCATATAGATTAAGACCATTGTGTTAAATTCAGCTTTGTATGCAACCTGAAGGAATGGGTGTGTGTTCCCACATATGCATATTCAATGGTCGTCAAAGAACCTAGAAACCTTTTGTGTTGGGTTACCCTTCATGTGAGTGGTGGCAAAGGTGAGATATGAATGGAATCTGAAAGCTATCCACTCTACTTACTTTTTCTTGTCAATGTTTGGTATATCACTTCTTTCTGCCTTCTCCACAATCACCTTAAAAGCAAACAAGCACAATTAGAGACAGGTCAGCTTCAAAATGCAAAACAAGGATAAGATGCTTTAAACACACATTTCATTCAATCATAGACGGCAACTACAAAGTAATGTCAGAGCTTAAATCGTGATATGTTTTCTGAAGCAAGAGACACATTTTAATCAAGTACTGTATCCTGTAGCCAAAAATAAACTGACTAGTAACATTTTGTACATAACAGAACAAAGCCAGATCATTAATATAAGGCCTTTTTAAAACAATCCAGAGAAATGCACCATACATTCAACATCTACTGGATTTCCTCAATTTTAAAACCTTCAAACAAATTATTGTGACTGACACCCATTAGACATCTCTATGAATGATGATTGCAGACAGAATTAACACATTGCAAAACCTAATTCCATATAAAAGCAGAAGCAGTTTGATGCTACATCAAGACTGCTGTTCAAGGCTCCCATCATATTCATAGGTGTTAAACTGTCAAACCCTGAAAGATTTTTTAAAATACTTTTATCAAATATATTGTCCTGGTGGAAAGTAACACGCCATTCTGCGCTCAACTTTCCACCATTTATACAACCATGATAACAAATGGAGATGCAAGACGCCAATTTACAAACAGACAATTATAATAATCACATTAAGTGAAAGCAGGCACTCTTCCAAGCACAGAAACAGTCCCAAGCAAGACATTTATAGTTGTAATGCGAAAGAGTTCACGCATGGGAATTAACAATAAACAATTGAGAGTGAAAATTATCATTGGACTCTTACCGGAATCCTATCTGGGTACTTCTCCCTGATCCTAGCAGCCTCTGCCCTCCTCTTCTCTGAAGGTGGGGGGAAAAAAAGTTTTGTCATCAATTTGACATGATCAAAACACAAAAAGACTACTAAATTCAAAGTATATACCAAGATCATGCTCTTGTTTGAAGTAACTCTTTGCCATTCCTCCTGAAAACAGGACACAAAATAAGTAAACAAACTTTGCTTTTTCCATTTTTTTCCCTCTTAAGAAACTCAGAACTTGCATCCATTATCCCTTATAACAAACATAGCAACTAAAGCTTCTTCTTCTTATTCTTCTTCTTCTTCTTCTTCTTTTTTTTTTTTTTTTTTTTTTTGGCAATTCCTTCAAAATTTAAGTAGGATCAGCTCCAATCCATAATCCAACCTTACACAATATAGTCCATGACATGCTATTAAACAAGATGAATTATCCAAATATAAACACCAAACCTAAATTAAAAAACACACACACACACACACACACAAACCCTAAACTAATAGTTTCAAACAACAATAACAACCATCTTATAAAAAAAAAAAACCCATGTTTCAACCTAAACAACAATAATCTAAGACTTCACAAAAAAAAAAAAAAAAAAAGAACTAAACGTTTAAGTGAACCATCTTTGTCAACATCAATAACCATCAAACCCAGCAGCATAATTCAAGAAAGAGACGAAGAGATTACAATACAAGTTAGGAAAATTAAGTATGAGGTAGAAACCCAACCTTGTGAATACGAAGTCAAAAAGAAAATAAGAGGAAAAATAGAGCTTTTGTTGACGGAAAAACTCGTGGGTATTTGGTTTGGTTGCAGATAAAGTAAAGCTGTTATGGTTTTTGTTTTCTTCAAATAATATAATATAAAGGAGTATAGATTTAGATAATCCTCTAACCAAAATTTTCTCATAAAAAGGTTAAAAACCAATTAAGTTGAATATATAAATATATTTATTTGGGATTCTACTTATACGTACGTATATGTAAGGATCATACTGTATTGCTACCCTGTTCATCATTACTCCACTTTTGCCCCTCGTTTTAAGCTTTCTCGATATTGACCTATAATTTTAAAAAATAAATTAAAAAATAGGATTGATTTTTTATATAAATATACCACCAAACTATTGGGTTAGTATCAGCTTTGCTTCCAAACTTTTTTTTCCTATCAATATTACTATTAAAGTATTTTGATTTCTAAATTAAGAATTTCTATTAGAATAACTTAAAATAAATGTTAAATTTTTTACAAAATGATTTCATTTTTTTACAAAAATAGAATACAAATTGGATGAAAATATTCGGCAAAAAGCTTTAAAAATGAACAAAAATCTTTAATTGAGAATTTTAAAAGTTTGAGGGTATAATTGATACTCAAATTATTAGATAATAATATGGAGACTACTTATATAGTTTGGTGGTATGTTTGAGATTTGTTCTAAATTTTAGAATTTTAGCAATAATTCGATCGATTAAATTTTATGTCCAAAATAAATAAATAAATAAATAACATTAGTTATTAATTAATTCTTCTCTCCTTTATTGGCCCAAAATAATGAAACATTGATATTTGAATTAAATTATAAAAGAGAAGATAATGTTTTATGGTTTATTAAATGGATCTATTTAACTATTTGTAATTACTCGGTACAAAGTAAATAATATTTATTTTTTTTTAAGAAAAAATATGCATTTTCAGTTGTAATTGTCCAATAATATTAATAACTAATACAATTATAATTAATTAATTAAATTACTGAATAATAGAATAAATTATTACTATACAATAAAAATATTTAATAATTGCGAATATATAGAATGTATTAAAGATTCAAAATACATTGTCATTTTCTTTAAATTTTAAAATTTAGAAAGGATTTAGAAAGAATGAAAATGAATATAAATCCATTGGATTTAAAATTGATTCTTTGGTAAATTAATTGCGAAATGTTTTTCTATTTTTAGAATGCCCAATATATGTTTTACATCTTTTATGTGAAAATGTTCAATTTTCATAAGGTTTTCTTGATTGTTCTTCAAAAAGTCTCACAATGTATATATATTGGACCTTCTTAGGCAATTATATATCTTAGGAGCCAATTCTAATTGATAAAAAAATATATATTTCAATGCGATTTCTTTTTTATTTTTCCTTATTTTAGCCAATCTTTCATGAAAAGCAAAAGGGGGTAAAGTAATAATAGAAATTGCCTAGTTGTCATGCCTTCAAACAATCATAGAAATTGCCCATTGATTAATTAATAGGAGGAACAAATAACGTAAACTTGGGTTCAAGTAGTTACCAGGCCCACTAAAAAAAATTACAATTGTTGTGGATGTGGGCTTGTGGCAGTATGTCTTGGACTAGGCCCAACATGAGTAAATACTAATTTCACATACAAAGCTGTAAAACTAGCAAATGGGCCTGCGCTGCTGTGAGTTCACTTATAAAATACATTTTTAACTTTTCTTTTTAGTTAATTCATGTTAAAAAAACAATTCAGTTTGGTGGATATAGATTTTTTTTTAAAGCAATATCGTAGCACCAAAAATTTTGATTAATATATATTTTAATTAACTCAAAATTTTTTATATCCCAGAACTTATATTTCATAAATAATGTTATGCATATTATAGAAACGATTCTCATCCTCGAAAATTTAAAATTTTGAGCATTTGTTTCTTAAATTTAAGAACAGAAGTTGATTTGACTAACGCAACTTATTATGCTTTTTATGATCTAGATTTATATCAAGATTTGTAAGTAGAAAGTCAAAAAAAAAAAAAAGTAATAGAAAGAAAAAAGAGTCTTTTTTTTATCTTAAAATTTTTAATATACTATGAACTTTCATTGAGAATTTTGCCCTAAATACCAATGTGCAAAATTTTTAGATAAATAAATTAACTCAAGATCAATTTAAAATCTCATCAATGGAATTTTAATCTGCAATAAATTTTCAATTTTAAAATTGCTGTGTATTATTAAATAAATAAATACTTTAATGCAGAAATTTAAGTTATGGAGTATGTCATTTTCAAATTTAAGGTGGGAAGCTAATTTTCTTAACCAAAGTTTTATGGCTCTTGAATCGAAATTATGCCCCTAACATTGAGGTAACAAAAAATGCATTTTGAATTTTTCTACGAATAAGAAAATTGCCATTCGGGCTAGGCTGTTCATGTTGTACTTCCCCCTCCCCCCTCCTCCTCCCCCTCTCTTTTTACATCTTGCTGCGTCATTTAGCTTTTGCTAAGCAAGAAAGCTTATGTAAAAGGCAAACGAGACCCCACATATCCAATAAAATAAGCAAACTCATCTAAAAGCTAGATTTGTCTACTCCTGTGGGAAGCTAAATTCATGCCTTTTTCTTTTGGCCATCCGACATCCAACCAACCGTAATGCCCCAGGGTCAATAAAGAGAATGAGGGTGACCAGAGATCATTAAATTGGTCTGGCATGAAATGGGCCCTCTCCGTCAAAAATCCTTGGGCTTCATTAAATTATCAAGTAGTAACCCAAAAAGGCAAAAACTAAATTAGGCAGATATTCGATTATTATTTTGTTGATGTTACTATCCTTGAAAGGAAATTGTGGATTAAGCTTTTACCATGATAAAACTCGAAAAGTTAAATGAATTATCGTAAGTTGAAAGCACTCAGATCTACCGTTAAAAAAAATTTGAAGATCGATATTCATAATATTAATGGATTAAAAGTTGCATAAGTTTTTTTTAAAATTTTTTTTTATGCTTTATCGTGTCATTCTACATTTTTTTCGTCTTAAGTTCATTTTTTTTAATCTTGTCCCTTTATTAATTTTTAGATTGCCAATATTAACTCTTCTTTTTTGTCTTAATTTTATCCATTTATTCTATTTTTCCATTTTAATCCTTTTTTTTTCTATCAAATTTAAAGAAAATAAATTTTGAGAATTAAAAAAATAAGAAAAAAATAAAGATATGCCCAATCATTCTATCTAAAAAAAATTTAGATTGGAGTTAAACGGTGCGTGTGTATCTCCGGAATATTGATTAAGACGATCATCTTATTGATGATCCCCAATCGATGATATGAAAAAGAAGGCTTGGTTGAGAGCGAGATGTCGGAATATATTTGTAGATTCAAAACTCTATTAGCGAGTGAGGTAACCGGTCCGGTTAGTCACTCGTGAGTTTGTTAAAGATCTTATGGATTATTTGATATTTTTATATTCCGATAAGGGTAATCTTTCCCATATTTATGATGTATGTAAAGAGTTCTATCATCCGGAAAAGCAAGATAGAACCCTTACTAAATATTTCATGAATTTCAAGCGAATTTATGAGGAATTGAATTCTCTCCTTCCTTTTGGAACCGATGTGAAGACCTAACAATCTCAATGTGAGCGGATGGTCATCATGAGGTCTCTTGCGAGCCTATCACCCAAATTTGATGCTCGCTCACACACAAATCATTTCTAGTCCGAAGTTGTCTCTCTTCATGACACCTTCACTAGAATCTTACGTACGGAGACATCTCGACCTTTTCCTAGTATTATTAGTGCCTTTGTGAGTTGAGGTAGTTGGAATGCGGGAGGTCGAGGAGGTCGAAGTGGTAGAGGTGGCCAAAATAATATTGGTTTTCGAGGTGGTAGGAGTGGTACTTATGGAGGAAATGACAACCGCGGAAAAAATGATCAAAATAGCCCAATAACATGCTATTTTTATGGAGAGCTTGGTCATACAAGACGTTCATGTTGGAAACTTCATGGGAAAACCTAAAAGTCGAGTTCATATTGCAAACTTTGCAACCCAAGAGGCTAGTCCCGGCTCTTCCTCATTTGAAAAGTCTATAATGATGTCTGCTGATCACTTTTCTCGGTTTATTCGGTATCAATCCTTACTAAATTCTTCCAATCCACCTCTAGCTATGAGTGATGGGACGAGTAAACCTACTACATGTCTTGCCTCATCCTCTTCCAAATGGGTCATTGATTCCAGTGCTACGGATCACATGACGGGTAATAAAAGATATTCTCTCCTCTTTTGTCTCACACAAAAATCTTCTTATTGTCACTCGATCGATGGGTCAACCACATCCGTTATAGGAACTTGAACAACTCTTCCTACATCATCTTTTTCTTTGTCATCCGTCTTATGTTTACCCAATTTTTTATTTAATCTACTATCGATCAGCAAAATCATGGACTCTCAATTGTTGTGTCTTATTTTT